ATGTCATGGGAACCAAGGGGGTGTTATATTATGGCACTCACTCTAAAGTCCCAAGAGATAGTTATTTTTCCATTTTGCAAAACATCTCATATCTAATTTGATGCGGAGATTAAGAATAGTAAAATCAGTACTATCTCTTGAGACTCTAGAGTGAGTGGCATAATATAACATTCGCACATTTGGGAGATCTAATATACTCGATGCTTTATTTGATTCCAAAGTAAATCCTACTTTCTCTGTCCCATAAAGTCTTTCTTCTTTTTTTATTCGTCCCAAAAAATAAATCTCATTTTTATTAAAAGTCACTTTTATCTCTATTAATTCTTAACCTAAATATCATATCGCACTTTTTCACTATTAATTTACCAATCGCATCCTACTTTTACCATCATATCCAAGAACATTTTTGGAAAATTAACACCCAAGTGTACTCTTCATAAATCCTTTAAACCAAAAAGGTTTTGTGGGACGGAGAGAGTATTATACTTCTTAAGTCATCATTAAAATTGATACAAGCTGAGTGAAAAACGTAATTGAGACTTGTCGGAGCGGCCTAATTGCTCACCACGTCCAACACTTAAGACTCTCTTTTGAAAAATCGTGAGATCGAGTCGTCGTGTATGCAAGATGGTTGATTTTTTTTCGTCAATGAACCTCTAGCCCCGTGATTTAGCTCTTAGGTCCGGACAATGGCAGAAGTATCATTTGCAGCAGCAATGTGGGAACTTGTATCTACCAAGAACCTGCGGAAAATCTACTGGAGGCCAATTAGAACTCGATGCTGACTAAGAGTAAAAAATGTGCAATTAAGGATTATGTGAAGAAGAGAGAAACACTATAAAAACTACGAAGCATATGTAATTTTTTTCGAATACTCTGTACAAAAAAAAGAAGATAAGACTACATATTTTGAAGAACGAACTAAAAAAGTAAAATTGGCACATCTTTTGTTCATACGTGGAGTAGCAAATACTCTCTTCGTCCCTAATTAGATTATAATATTCTTTTTTATTTTTGTCCCAAAAAGAATTACAAAGTGTTTACTTTTACACTAAATGGACTCTTTTACCCTTCGTCACCTTTATCATTTCAATGTCAAAATCTCACCCACCCACCCATTCCTATACTATTTGGGGGTTAATTTGGAAAAACAAAATGCTGATTTGACTCTTCCTTAATTTGGTCTAAAAGGGAATATTGTAATATAAAAGGGGACTGAGGGAGTACTCCCTCCGTCCCTAAATATTTGCCACATTTGTATTCCTGAGGCAAAATATCAACTTTTTTCAATTCATTTTATTTACACATTGGTATAGAAATAAAAAAATTTACATATCAAAAAAATACTCCCCCCGTCCTATAATGATTTTCCCGGTTCTGTTTACGAAGTTTGACCGACTTTATTTTTAATTCAATTTATTTGATTGTAAGTGTAAAATTAAAAAATAAAATTTATATATTTGAAAACTACATCAAAAGTTCTACAAAACAAGTGGTGACAAGACGATATTATTTTATCAAATACCTAATGAAAATACGTAAAGAAAGTGATTAAAGTTTGACCGTGTGAATAGTAAGTGGGAAGAACATTTCAGGACGGAGGGAGTACATGAAAAAATTCTTCGAAATAAGAGGTGTCAAGAATATTTTATTTTATCAAATAACCAATAAAAACGTGGAAATAAACAAAAGTTCCCGCGACTACTGAAAAAGCAAACGTTCCAAATAATTTGGGACGGAGGGAGTATTTGTTTAGTTTTGATTTTTCTTAGTTAAAATTGATAAATTTTGACCACCAATTAAATAAAATTAGTTTTAAATATATATTAATACAAAAATAATGTTAGATTTATTTAATACAATATTTTAAAATATTATTTTATCTAAGTAATATATCGTATAAATTCTATTTAATTTGAAGCCAAAGTTAAAATTGTTTTTACTGTAAAAAGTTAAAATTTGATAAGTACTCAATAAAGCTATGTATATTAAAATAAGAGTGGGATAGAGGAATAAGAGTGGGATAGAGGGAATAGATTCTAATGAAGTGCAGAGTACTATTTATTTCAAGTTTCAACACCTTCAATCCATTCCACCCTAACAGCTAGCCCTTGTCTATCTAGGGTACTCGTTTGCTTCATGCTTGACAATGTTCCCAATATTTTAGTCCTCTTCTTCTCACCTCACTTAATTTAATACTCCTTCCGTCCCATTGTTTTTGTCCACTTACCTTTTGGCACACTATCCAATGCACTTCTTTAATTCATTTTATCTTGTAATTTGTATATTAAAAAATTATAGAAATTATATATTAATAATCTATATGCTAAGACAAATCAAACAAGATCACACATAACTATATTTAGGCTTACACATTGAGAGAATTTGATTAGTCAAAGTGTTTAGATAAACAGTTCCAAAAGTCAAAACTGGACAAAAACAGTGGGACGGAGGTAGTAATTGAAATAAGTTTTTATATAGTAATTGAAATAAGTTTTGATTTAATTTGTTGAATATAGTTATATTAAAATTATTTATGAACTAATCCGATTCAAATAAAAAACAATAAATAATAAGAATAAGTTGAATAAGTTTAATTGCAAATTTGGTCACTGTAAGTAATTAACTATCCGTAAACGTTCTTTTCATTTCTTTTTTAGCAAAATTCTTAAACTTAAAAAGACAATTCTACTCTTCACTTTTTTACTCCCACCCTATTAAAGTACGTAGGAGCATCTTTGAAAAGTCAATATATATCTTTTATAACACTTCTAAATAAGTATGTTATGTCAACACGAAAAGAATATTTCGTACAAATAGAGTATGAAATAACATACTACTCCCTACTACAATTAGATGTTCTTGCAAACATGTTTGACTGGTAAGTTTAATTCGATAATGGGCAAAGGTTCCTTGACTCAAGAAAATGACCTGAGAGTGACTCAAACGTTTTTTTCACATGCAGAGCTCCATTGGTATTTGGCTTAGTTTTCAGAACCGAACCGGTCAAGGCACTGGTTCGCTAGTTCACTGGTCGAATCAGTGGTTCGAGTGGTTGAACCAGTGGTTCAAACACACACACACACACACACACACACACACACACACACACACATGTATATATAGAAAACGTTTAGGCATTGAATTAAAAAACTAATATATGAGTAAACAAAAAATATTTCCTCTATTTATAAATAAATAATTGATGTTTGAATAAATTTATAATTTACTTGAGTTGTGTCATCACATATTTTAAAATGCTTATAAATAAAAAGTGATTTCATTTTTCTGAAACATTTTACCTAGTTTTTAAAATATATATAAACAAAATATTTGTGTGATATGCACTTCATCTCAATTATATCAATGTGTTTTGAATTTTAGTTAAAAAAACTCTCTATATTTTTAAAAGTATTTGATAAAGAATTTTGTAGTAAACGAATATCAAAGAGGAATAACAAGGAATCAACACCAAGGCCCAAGCATTGTAGCAGAGATGGTTTGATGCTTGCTCTTGCTATAATGTTAATTTAGTAAAATTTAATTTATTTTACAATATAGATTTGAAATATCAAATTTTTATACTCACTCTGTTCCTTTAAATCCTTCCACTTTTGACTTTTGGCAAAATAAGGATAGTGTAATTTTGGTTGACTTTCCAATTTTGCCCCTGATGTGATGGGTAAAAGTAAGATGTGATAGTTTGATTATTAGTGAAAAAATATGATGTGATAGGTAGAGTATGAAAAGTAAGGGTAAAAGTGGTATTTTAATCAAAAGTGGAAGTGTTTTAGAGAATTAAAAAACGAAAGGGGAAGGATTTTATGCAACGGAGAGAGTAATATTTAATTATTTTAAACTATATTTAATTCGTGGTAAAAACATACCACAATTTGACTAAAAAATTTAAATTGTGTGAATCTTTTAGAAACGGAAGAAGCGGGACATTTCAAAAAAGAAACGTGGAGTATTAATTTAAGTGTGGGATAGAGGGAATATATTCTCATGAAGTACTCTTTATTTCAAGTTTCAATACCTTCAATCCACTCCACTCTAACAGTGTTCCCAATATCTATCAGCTCCTAAATTGCATATCTGGTCACGGTGAAAATAGTAATATTTTTTGAAATTTTGACCGTTCTTGTCATCTACGAGTACTATTTGAAATTGTCTAACTTTTTTCCTCTAAATTTTCCATTTTCTCTAATGGAGATTATTTAGCTTTGTAGTAAGATATAAAACAAAATGCTTTTCAAACTATATATGCTTCTTTTGATAGAGGAGCAACAAGTAATCAATGCAACTTTCGGCGCTGATCATGAGGTAGCTGAAAAAAGCCGCTCTATGTTTTAACGTAGAGGTCACCCCACCCCACCCCACCCCACCCCCCTCCCCCACCACACAATGGACGGGAGCCTTTGAGGCACTAGGGTAATGTTTAGGGTAATGTTGTATTTTTTTCTCTAAAATCTCAAATATCACAGTTTGATTTTTGTTAGTCGGATTAATATCGAGTATAATGAAAGAAAAATAAGCATAGTATCTTGGTAAAATTTAGGTTAGCGAATTTCAAATGCAAGGCTTGCTTTTTTTTTATTATAATAAAGTTCAGAACGTTTACACAATGAAACCAGAAATAGGAAAAGTGTTAAAAAACTAAGAATCAAATTATCAATCCCCGCAATTATCATTCCAATAATTCATCACAAAACTCAACAAATTATGACGTGTGTATGGGTTGATTAAAGTTATATGTGACTTACAGTGTATATGGTTTTTGTTTACTTTGTCCCCCACCATTGATCATGAGGAAGGTTGCTAACTCGCGGAACTAAACGGAGGCAGTTAATTTGAAACTACTTCCAACTGGAAAGATCTGAGGGTTAAATCTGTCCATTTATAATTCAGGGTACAAAGGGTGAAGGCAGAGGAACAACTTTTTTGTAATGCCAAAAAATAAGGACAACTTTGTAGAGCCTTGTATAATAAGCAAAGATATACAAAAACTAAAGCTGCTAAGATCTTTTTCTTGTTTTGCTTTTGTCCAAACTACAAATTATGGACGGTCTTTCAATTTTACCCTCCATATCGATGAAGGGCAAAAGAATATATCTCTGAAAAAGAATTTGCCTCTTATTATGCTAGAAGGCAGAACTACAATTACATTAAGTTATCCAAAAGAAAGGTATATTGAGAAGAAGATCATCTTTTCGGAAATGAAAGTTTAGCTGCTAACCTTCCTCTTACTGTTCCCAAATTTGGCTGTCCTCGACTGGACGATCCATTTCGCGATTTTCGTGGCTTTTGGAATTTCCTAGTGGATCTGCGCCTCTCAAGGCGCTGCTTGCGAATCTCAGGATCTGCCCACCCTTTCCCCCACTCCGAGAAAGACGAAAAGGGTTTCTGTGCTCTTGTTAAGGACAGTAACATGTCTGTTTCTGGGTATGCAACAAAATTCTGCTGGGCTTCTGATTCCAGAAATTTCAGGCCTTTTTCCGTTACTTGAGGATATTTAATTTGTACACTAATGTTATCACTTCCTTCTTGAATATAACCCTGGTTCTCCAACATACGAGCCAGGCCACGCCACCATAGTTGCTCACTGTTTAGGAACTTCTGAGAGTGTTCCCTAATCTTCGCGACTACCGTCCTAAGATTTGGCCTTTCAGAAAATCTCTGCTGCATCAGATCAGTAGGGGCAAAATCGCCAGCATACAAATTTTCAGCAAAACTGTCCTGTTTGTGGTGAGAGGCAACAATTTGCATGAAAAGATTTGCTTCTGCTGTCAAATCTTGCAGCTCAGGAGGCCCATTTTTGCAAACATCACATGAGCTGCAGCGGCCTTGAGTGAACTCTTCTCCAAAGTATTCTACCAGTATAAGGGCTCGGCAGAGGGAAGTGTTCATGCCGTATCTAAAACAATCAGACAACATCTTGTAAGCCTGTTTCTTTTGCTCTTCGGATCTCTTGTTAGGCAAAAGAGTGGGGATTCTGGACAGATTAGCGTATAAAATGCAATCTGACATTTTCCCATCTCGCCCAGCCCTGCCTGCTTCTTGATAATATGCTTCCAAACTCTGTGGCCATCCATAATGAATGATCCTTCGCACGTTTAGTTTGTCAATTCCCATTCCAAAAGCAATGGTTGCAACAACAACATCCAAGGCATTCCCTTGAAACTCTGCGTGAACTCGTCTTAGGTGTGCTTTTGGCAACTAAAATGAAGCAGAAAAAAAATTAGACATTTGGAGTTCGCATCATAAAAAAGACAATATTGTTTAACAAAAATAAATAAATACTTGTAAATAAATGAATAAATAATGTCTCTGTCTTAAGTTACCGCTGCATGATAAGCTGCAGCCTTCACACCCTCTGCACAAAGAAACTTAGCTATATTAAGCGTATCTTTTCTTGTAGGCACATATATGATGGTTGGACCTTGTGCCAAAGGACCATGCACAAGTGGCACTGCTTCCACTGGCTTTGAAGGGCCATTCGGCATCTCAATCTCATTAAGCTTCTGATTACCAACCATTGATGTCCCAGAAAACTCGCCGCATGAAACTAATAAAACCATAAATGAGGGGCATCGGTTTTCAATGTGCAGGAGAAAACCTAACGACATTTGAGGTTAAAAAAAGAAAAAAGAATTTACGGTCCAGTATAGTTGAGCTTTTGTACCGTCAAAGTCATCTGCTGTCTGAATGTCATCAAAATCATCTTCCAGATACTCAACTGACAGTTGTTTCTCTTTTGACACGGTGGGAGCAATTCTGTTTAGTGAATTTAGCTCATAATCCTCTAAGTCAAAGCTATCATCCTCCGTAATATTCATACCACTGCTATCAGAACTGCTATTGGAGTCTTCTTTCCCAACAAAGTGATTCATTTTACCTATTGCTCTCTTACTAGAGTACACTTGCACTAGTTCTTTGAAATCCTTCGCATAGGAAGATTGAGATGTTCTACTATGCTTCACCTACAAATAGAAAACATGCATATAACACTCAAAACCTAAAGAGAGTAAAAACACACAAGACACTAGACTCCAAGCATCTAAACTAGGAACACGTTTAGCCAATGCAGACAAAAGTAATGTGAAAGAGCAACATACTGAGAAACAAAGGTTTGGCCGAAAGAATGTTGTCAGAACAATTTTTGCTTCACTTGACATGCAAAGTGCCTTAAGAATATCTTCTCGGACACAAATAGTAGCAGTGGCGGTCAGTGCCATAATTGGTATATCAAATTTCAAGAAATCTAAACTGTTGGTGCTGAATGCCTCTCGCAGCACAGACAATCGCCTAAAACAAAAAATATATAGATTGCAGAGGTTTAAATTCACTTGTATGACACTAAACTTCATATACTCAATTACTCATGTATCCATTTCTAATGGGACACTACTTGAGCGAACTGGGATCTACTACTAGAGGTTTTTCCTCTGCAACAGATAACAAAACATAAAGAAAATAGATGTATTTATTTTAGGTATTTTTTAATAAAAGGGGCATTCGACATCCTATCAATTCCAAATGAAAAGAGAGAAGTTCTCAGCTTGAGCTTGAGGATCTTGGAAATTGATAAGAATCTGTGTCCTGAAACAGTGCAAGCTCATTAACAAAAGCCTACTTACCAAAGGCACCTCTTGAGCAGAACCTACCAATCTATTCGGTAGTGGTTTATCTTATTTGAATGTTTAGTGCTCTAGTTTCACATGACAACTAAATCTTGAGTCTGTTGCAATTTATCCAGATATCCTCTTTAAGGTAAAACTCTATTCTGTATGTCTCTCATTCGTCAACATGCGCCCATACCTACCCACGGGATTATTTTTACCAATGTCAATTAGAAGATACTGAACTATACATAGTCTAAAAACACTGTTCTTTAGTTGCTTGTAGTGTCCACTGGTCGCTTTCAGTTAGAAGTGAAGGAAGAGGGCGCCATAGAAGAACTATTTTGCTAATGTATAACACTTGATAACAACCTATACAAGTCATAAAAACTACTCCGTACTATATACCTAGCCTATCATTCATAATACTTAAATCTTTTTTTAGAGATAACTGAAGCAAAAATTTTGGTGTTCAAGAATGGAGTTTAACTCAAAGTTCAACAGCTGCTTCTTACTGATATTAAAATTAAAGTATGTTATTTTGTTAAATGAAAACTGAAGTTTGAGGGGCAAAGCAAGGGGGGG